TTTTCTTTTCTCTCTCCTTCCCTCTCTAAGAATTGTTGCATATAAATTATTGCCTTGCACCATTTTTTTCCTGCCTGCAAGCGATTCGTTCGAGAATATGAAATATTTACCAAATACCGCTTAGATGTCTTTTCTATCATATTCTTCAACGTTACAAAACAGATTGTTTACAACTGCGTTGCCCTTCTACCTAATGGGCACCCTAGGGGGATGTTGTTGGCTTTGAGACTCAGCTACATATTTCAATAAACAACTCCTGAAGCCAGCTCTCTTTCATAGCAGTGAACATTAATCAGGGACCTATCTGAATGGAGTACTCGCTGTTCCTCCCTTTGGGAGGAAACAGGAAAAGGACACACGTTGATGTGTATAATCAAATGTGCATGGAAAGAGCATTGTCACATATTCTTGGTATTATCAGAAGCTCATCTGATAAGAACATACCCTTGTAGTATGGCTATAGATTTTTACCTGGTGGAAGACATCCTTTGTATGTTTTTTGGGGGGAAGAAGATAGCATTATTGTTTTGTAACCTGTGGGCATTTGTAAGTCAGAAGGCAAACTACCCTAAGGCTGCAATCCTGCACCTGCCTACCTGGCAGAGCAAGCCCCACTGAACTCAAAGCACAGGGTGTCAAAATAGCATTAGAAATCCAGTAAGTTGTAGTGCTTAGGGCATTGAACTAGGTCCTGGAGGACCACGAAGCTCACTGGATGACAAGTGGATTGAATAGAGATGATACGCCAATAATTTTCACCTATCATTTTTAAATCTATTAAGCAGCCCATTCTTACTTAAAAGCAGAACACAACAAAATTCAACTGTAATTCAACTACTGCATAAATGCATGTTGTGCCTCTCTTCTAGGAACCCCAATTTTTTAAACCTGTTTATGCAAGTGATTTATCTCTGGTTGACAAATTCATTGAGAAATGGGAAGCAGAACATGGGAATAAGTAGACAAGTTCTTCCAATGGAGCAACTGGAAACTTTTGCTTTTCAACTTGCTCACAAATGATCTAGAACTAGGTGTGAACAATGAGGAGGACTTCCGGGTCAGCGCCATCGGTGAATGGCGGAGTTCCTCCGTCCGGAGGAACGGGCTCCGTGGAAACTGGGTCTTCCTGCCGCGGCGAAGGTGGGGACCCGCTAGAAATCCCAGGCGGAGGAAGCCTGGGAACGTGGGGTTCGGCAGGGCACCAGGAGCGCCCCCCTACTCACGGGGAACCCCTTTTTGGGATTCCGGAGTGAAGTGGGGTGAGAAGCGCGGTGCTGCGAACTGACTGCTACTTTCACGGAGTGAAGCCGCACAGCCATTGCCAGAGAGCGCTGACTTTTTCCTGTGGACAATTGGATTTAAAACAAGTACCCATGAGTAGAAATGGAAAATTGGATCAAAAAAATTTTTTATTTGGTAACAAAGCGGGAAGGTGCAAAACAGGAAGTCTGCCTCCCGCTTTTTGTATATAGACTAAAGCAAAAACTTTGTAAGCTAAAGCCTGGAAAGCTGTCAAAAAAGTCTAAATTTTCTTCATTTAGAATTACTGAACCCCCTTGGAAGCAGGAGAAAAGGGGGAACTTTGTTCAACCCTAGCAGGAGAGGGAGTGAAGAAGGATAAGTTTCCACCGTCTCTAACCTGGGAACGGGGTGTCAGAGACAGAAATTGTTGGAGAGGTTCATTGACTGTGAATGGGATATTTTGACAGATAGCTAAAGAAGAGAAACAAGCTGATTCCAATGTTGCCTTTTGCATCCTAAAGAAACAAAATATCTGAAAAATATCTGAAAAACGAAAGTAATTTTCCTTTGTTGGACTTGCCTAAAAAAAAATGGATACAAATAGAAATTGCCTCCTCTAGAGGGAGCTTGTCAAATTGTTGCTACAGTACACTTGAGGGCTCAACAGATGTGAGATTAAGACCGTGGGAACAAGCTTTTCTGACCTTGACTAAAGATGAGTTGGAAAGAAGACTGGGTGCTTGCCTTATGTAAGACAAGTGCCCTGCTGGAACAGATGCATGAGAAGATGGACTTGATGAATGAGAAAATGGATTTGACTGTTGCAGTTAATAACTGTGGGCAAACAGAGAATATTGATACAGAAATTATCCAGGGACCAACTCATGAATCTGTACTGACTGGGCATGTGCAGAAGATAATGGAGGAGGATGCGGTCGCACCCCAAATAATACAAATGGAGAGTCCCGAGGCCCTACAGGAGTATGAGCCGCTGTCATTGAAGATTGAAGTTGGAGTGGGCCAGGGGGAGTCTGGAGTTGAGGAGGTTCCCAACGTTGGAGAGACCTTGGAATATGCTTTTAAATACTTTTTGGACTATATTGAGGATTGTGGGGGAGTGCGACTGTGGGGAATGGGCGGGTTTGATGAAGGGAGATGGAGACAATTCTGGCTTGGAACCCCCCAGAGGCCCACCCCTCAATGAGAAAGGAAAGAAATTAAGAAAAAGACCAACAAAAGACAAGGAAAAAGGCAAGTATAAACAAGAAGAAGAAGAATTGCAGAAGGGACATGGAAGAGACTTAAGGGCCTCGGACATAAGGCTTCCAGGTTGATGGACTAGATGGAATGGACAGTAAGGACTGAATCGATCCGAGACCAGGAAGAAGGGACGTTGGATGAAGATTGGAAGAAAATTTATAAAGAAAATTTTCTAATTGGGGAATTGGCTAAAAATTAATGAATATTAGGGAAAATGTTGGAATGAAACTATATGACTTTAGCAGAAATGATATCAGGAGTAATGTATATTTGATAACTAAGATTCAAGCTTTAAGGTGTTTTAGGGTAAGATAAGGTTAAATTAATTAAGGTAATGTGAATAATAGAATATGGGGAAAGATGGAAAGGATTTGTTGAGTTAATTATTAGATTAAATTAGGTCAGGATGAATTTTTTAACAAAAATTGAGAAAGATGGAAAGAATTTGCTGAAATAAATAATTAAACTAGAATACAAAAAGGGAGGTGTGAGGAAGTCAATGAAACAAGCAAATGGAAGTTTTAGATATGTAAGTTGGGATTTGTGTTGTTTTCTTTTTTCTTTTTATCTTTTTGTTGTATTGTTGTATTGGTTTTTGTGTTTTTTCTTTTCTTTTTGTCTATTATAGTGTTATTCTTAATGTTTTTTTAATGTTTTTCTTCTTAAAATTCTGAAAACTACTAATAAATATTATCATTTTTTTAAAAAAATAGGTGTGAACAATGAGGTGGTCAAGTTTGCTGATGATATCAAAATATTCAGGGTGGTAAAAACAAGAAGGAATTGCAAAGAGCTCCAAAAGGATCTCTCCACTGAGTAACTGAGCAGTAAAATGGCAAATGAAATTGAATGTAAGCAAGTGTGAGATGGTGCCCATTGAGGCAAATTTAAATATAATAATAATAATAATAATAATAATAATAATAATAATTTATTTATATCCCGCCCTCCCCAGCCGAAGCCAGGCTCAGAGCTTCTAACAACAGTAAAATAATACAACATTCTAAAATCATTTCATTATAAAATCAGTTCAAATCAGATTAATGGCAAGCATTGGGCTAGAGTTCTGTGAGGATTGCCAAAGGAGGGGGTCAGACTGTGCCTTCGCCAAAGGCCTGGTGGAACAGCTCTGTCTTGCAGGCCCTGCAGAAAGATGTCAAGTCCCGCAGGGCCCTAGTCTCTTGTGACAGAGCGTTCCACCAGATCGGAGCCACAGCCGAGAAAGCCCTGGCTCTGGTTGAGGCCAGCCTAACCTCCCTGTGGCCCGGGACCTCCAAGATGTTTTTGTTTGAAGACAGTAAGGTCCTCTGTGGGACATACCAGGAGAGGCGATCCCGTAGGTACAAGGGTCCTAGGCCGTATAGGGCTGTGTCTACATTTCACAGATATGCTCATGGGGTTTGAACTAATGGTGACTGGCCTTTGGATTCCAACCCAGAATGGCCCTGAGAATGAGGGGACACTTAAGATGCAAGCTATTTCTGGTTACCATGATTACTAAAAGAGCAAAAAAAGAGAGAGAAGAAAGAGGCTTTGGAATAGGAGGGTCCACTGGGAAAATGCTCGTCAAAATCTGCTCAGATTGGCTTCCAAAGCAGTTGCTGGCAACAGGGAAGAGGAAAGAAACAGAGGAAATTGGAGGGGAAGAAAATAAGGGATTGCTGAGCCTAATCTGCCTCTGAGCTTTTCCCACTAGCGCCTTGAGTCTAGACTGACAGGCGGAGAGAGGTCTGTAGGGGGTTACACTTGGCCGTCCCATTTTTGCATCATGCCCACTGAAAGGGAGACATCTGCAGAAGGCAAAGCGAGGAGGAAGCCAACAGCACTGCCGTTAAAACAAAACAAAAGTGTGCAGAAAGCCAAAGGGGGATCTATTAGACGACTCCGGCAGATGAACTTTGGCCTGAAGAATGTGCATCTTCGAAGCTACTTGCCAAGGTGATTTCCTGCCTTGCCTTGTTTGATTAACCCCAAAAGAGCTGGCATGGCACTGCTGTCAGGAAGAGCCTCATTCAGCTTATTGTGTTAGCAACCTGAGGGCACTAATATCAGTGATATAAAATTAGAAGTCTTCATGCTTGGGCTGTTAGTCTGTCCCCTGGCACTGTGGAATCAGAGAGGTAGGATTGATCTTGACCTTCCTGTTTAGCTATTTACCAGTAAGTGGTAATTCTTTAGTCACTTACCTGGGTGTAAGTCTTACTGAACTCAGTAGAGGTGTCTTCTGAGTCGACATGTAGAGGACCAGGGCTGGCAGTCTTTAAGATTCCACTCAATTTGTTTGTTTGTTTAGACTATTTGCCAGAAAAGACTATTAAACTATTTGCCAAAAAAGTAAACATGGTGACTTACTTAAGGCAGCTCACAATGTAAGAAAATGTATGTTTAGCCTGGAAAACAGGAGACTGAGAGGAGATGATGATGATGATGATTTATTTATTTATTTATTTATTTATATGGGTGGGGACCCATCTGGGTGGGTTTCCCCAGTCACTCTGGGTGGCTTTCAACAACATATTAAAAATACAATAAACATCAATTGTTAAAAACTTCCCTAAACAGGGCTGCCTTCAGATGTCTTCAGATAGTTGTTTATTTCCTTGACAACTGATGGGAGGGCGTTCCACGGGGCGGGTGCGATATGATAGCCATCTTCAAATATCTTAAGGGCTGTCATATGGAGGAGGGAACATGGTTGTTTTCTCCTGCTCTTGGGAGTAAGACTCAAGGCAATGGCTTCAAGTTGCAAGAAAGGAGATTCTGACTGAACATTCAGAAAAACCTTCTGACAGTAAGAGCTGGTCAGCAGAGGAACAGACTCCCTCAGGAGGTTGTGGACTCTCCTTCCTTGGAGGTTTTTAAGCAGAGGTTGGATGGCCATCTGTCCTGGATGCTTTAGCTGAGATTCCTGCATTGCAGGGGGTTGGACTAGATAACCCTTGGGTTCCTTCCAACTCTACAGTTCTATGAATCTGCAATTCTAGGTGCGACACATAAAGAAAAATGAATGGGAGGGAGGAGGGGAAAGCAAGCTCTGGCACATGTTATTAAAGCTCTAGAGTCAAATATATATGTTCTGGATGGAGCTCAATGGCACACACAGGAGATCATTCCATCAGCATAATTACTTCTGCCTGAAAGGTGGAATAATTTCCCCTCCTATGTGCTGTTTGAGGGGTTATCCTGACCCTACTGAGCAGACTTTGTGGGGGCGCAGGGTGCACGGGGTGAGGAAAGGGGGAAGTTCCACTGTACTGGTGGGACTTGTGCTGGCTTCTGCTAGTAAATGAACCTAGTTAAATATGCCATTGTGTATAAATGGATATGGAAGTGGGGTTTAAAACAAAACAAAACAAAAATCCAAAAATTGGGATTGTGCTTTGCAGAATTAGGTCCTCCTGTCAGGTTTCCCACAAGCATCTGGATGGCCACTGTGAGAACAGGATACTAGAGCCATTGGCTTGATCCAGCAAACACTTCTTAAGTTTGTAGAATCTTGGGAACTTATTGAGGGTTTAAATTTTATTTTTAAAATAAAGTATTAAGAACATTTTAAAACTGTGAAGCAAGAATAAAAAATATACAGCCCTCCTCAGTATCCTAGCATACAAAAAATCCATTACAATGAAAGAGAGCTAAATATAAATCCTTTTAAAGGCATAACAGTGATAATAATAACAGCAGCAGCAGCAGCAGCAGCAACAACAACAACATCAATCTGTGCTTTTCCCAAAAAAAGTTTAGGGGTACTCTTATTTTGTCTCAATAAAATCGCCATTTTATAGTTCAAATCCAGAAAAAAAAATACTGCTTCACACATTAAACATTCGTTTCTGTCTGAGACTCAGGAAAAACAGTGACAGAAAATGAGGCCGCCATTGGGGGTAGCAACGGAACTGATGATTCACTGTGCTAGAGAAGAAACTATTTATTTATTTTTTAAAAAAAGTTTCTTCTCCCGTTAGCTTCACAAATTGTTTAGGGGTATGTGTACCCACCCCTGCGTCCCCCCAGAAAAAAAGCACTAATAATAATAATAATAATACCAGATTAATGCAGTTGCAGCTACACTGAATCACTATAATATTAGATTTCTGTATTTTCAAGGTAGAGTAGCTTTCATTTAAATGTCAGCATATGGAAGAAAAGAGCACCACATAGTAAAAAACAATTCAGATTTAATTGGATCCTCAGTTCCCCTGATGTGATTTGTTAGATGGTCTATTACAGCATAGTTCCAAATCTGTGCATATAAAAGCTTAATCTCTCTCTTTCTCTCTCTGTGTGTGTTGTGTTGGTGAGATAAATTGAAATTGTTCCATCAGAGCAGCTGTATGTAATAATTGACCATATTGTGGCATAAGGTCACTAAGAAGACTGAAAGTGTGACATGAAACAACCTCCCCTCTATCTCTCCCCCCCTTTATTTATGGATGTTTCCCCTTTTAAAAAAGCCAGAGGGTAATTTTGTACACAAAGTCTTTGCAAAGAATGTGCTCAAAAATGGATGGTCCCCACTAACGCCAGAATGTGGGAGCAAGGAGCAGAGGACTGTAAGTAATTACCACTGGACTTAGCCAATAATTCATGCTATATTTCTGATTAATAAGATGTAACTTACTTGGCAATCCTGAGGGATGAAAGGCAAGCTTGCAATATAAGACTTGATTATCATCTGAAGCACTTCAGCTTTTCTTTCCCACCATGAGAAAGTTCATTTGGAGTCATCAATTACAATTAAAGGATCATTTTTGCTTAACCTGCTGAAAACAGATTAAATTACGGGCAATCCAAATGGGCTGATTATATAATCAACAGCTTATATTGCATAAAAGGCAGATAAAACAGGACTCTTGTTATGATGCAGGAAAAAAATACACATGATATTTCTTAACCAGAAAGAAAATCATTCAAAGGATTTACTTGCCTGTAGTTATAAATTTAAAATCTTCTGTCACCATGCGGTTTGCATTATAGATGTCAACTTGGTAAAGAGTCACGGCAGAGACAACACAATTAATAGTGAATATGAATAAATAAAATGATCAGATTCTAGTCAGGCCATTAATAAAACTACAGCCTCTCAAAAAAAGAAAAAAAGAAACTTGTTCCAGAAATTTTCTATAGTACTTATGTAGACAGGGACAGGAAAAGCAATGGAGGAGAATAGGGGATTGTCAAAAGACACAAAACACTCTTGATTATTGTTGGCCAGTTATTTACTAGCACAGTGGACTAAGTACATAAGGGCTCATCTAATCAAGCATTTTCTTTTCACATTCTGGCCAACCAGATGCATAATGGAAGCCAACAAGTAGACCCTGAAATCACTTTCCCCACCTGTGATTCCTGCAACTGGTAGGAGCGTTTCCACCCCAATCGCTCAGCCCAGACACTGAGGTCCTCCTCCTAGGGTCATCTGCTAGTTCCCTAACTGTGAAAAGCAAAGTTACAGGGAACCAGGCAGAGGGCCTTCTCAGTAGTGGCACCCTCCCTGTGGAACACCCTTCCTTCAGATGTCAAGGAAATAAATAACTATCTGACCTTTAGAAGACATCTGAAGGCAGCCCTGTTTAGTTTTTAATGTTTCATGTTGTATCTGCTGGGAGCTGCCCAGAGTGGCTGGCGAAACTCACTGGTGGAGGAAGGGGGTGCGGTAGGTGCGAGCCCCCCCAGGATGCTCACCCCCGGGTGCACAGCATGTGCACTGCTCCGGGTGCCGGAGCAGCTAGCTCTGCCTCTGGTGAAACCCAGACCGATGGGTGAGGTATAAATAATCAGATTAGTAGTAGTAGTATTTAGAGGCATACTGCCTACAACTGGAGGTTTAAAATATTTTGATCTTTCCTCATAGGTAAATTGCTTCATCCCCTTAATCATTTTGGTTGCAGTTTTCCAACCCATTTCAAACTCTACAATATCCCTTTTCAGGTGAGGTGTATACAGTAATACTACTACTACTACTACTACTACTAATATATTTATACCCCGCTCATCTGGCTGGGCTTCCCCAGCCACTGTGGGCGGCTTCCAACAAAATATTAAAATACAGTAATGCATCAAACATTAAAAGCTTCCCTAAACAGGGCTGCCTTCAGATGTCTTCTAAAAGTCTGGTAGTTGTTGTTCTCTTTGACATCTGGTGGGAGGGTGTTCCACAGGGCAGCTGCCACTACTGAGAAGGCCCTCTGCCTGGTTCCCAGGAAGAACGTCCTCATGGTAAGAACTGCTTGACTGTGAAACAGTCTCCCTCAGGAGGTGGTGGACTCTCTTTCCTTTGAGGTTTTTAAGCAGAGGTTGGATGGCCACCTGTCATGGATGCTTTAGCTGAGATTCCCGCATTGCAGGGGTTGGACTAGATGATCATTGGGGTCCCTTCCAACTCTACAATTCTATCATTCTATGTTCATATGATTCTAAAAAGTGCACACTGTTTCACACATACACTTGTAAATTCATAGGGACAGTGTATACCTTTGTTTAGAATAAGGTTTGAACAAGCCTTGCGTTTCCATGATACATGTGTTCACTACAGCCGGCCTCAGGGATACAGTAACATCTTAGATATACTCCTAAGATGTAATATACAAGGAAGCACACTTTCAGGTAGACCCATGCAGACTTATTCCCCTTTGTTTTATTTTCCTTTGTTAGCAACCTCAGACCTGTGTGGCATGACTAAACAGCAATTGCAATTTACAGCACCTTTGTAGTGAAAACCTACAAACGTCTACTTAAAATTAAATCCAAAGATTTTAATGTAGCTTACTCCTGGGCAAATGGGTACAGGATTGCGGCCTTAGTTTCTCAGATGGAAATTACTATGCAAGTTCAAAGCATTATTATTGTTATTCAAAATGGAAAAAAGAGAGACCTGTGTATTTTTGTTCCACTCTAGCAACAACAGTGTAGAAGATTGATTTCCTTTCCATTAAAATTGTACATTTTACTTATGACCCAAGGGGCTTAACACAATATATTGGGTAATCATAACAGTAATAATAATAATAAATTTCATTTATAGGCATCCATGCCTGAAGGCCACTTGGCATCCTATAAAATAATAAAAACAATTTTCCAATATAGAAAACCCCAAGAGCTTGTAAACAAGTTCCCCCGCTTCCATCCCACCCACTCTGTAACTATAAAGATAAAATATTACAAAAATCTGAGCAATGAAACGAAATCCCCAAAATTTAATCCAGATCTCACTGGGATGACAAACCAGTGTCTTGGTTGGGACACTTTATATTGCAAATGGAAGAGTCTTCTATGCAAAAACCTCCCTGCACATAAAAATCTAGGTTCCAGGACATCCAGGGAGGTTGAAGCTGGAATCTTTCTCCTTGATAATATAGTTTCCTGCATGCAGGTAACCTCTTGCACAGAAGGGAATTATTTCATGTGAGCACCACCTTCTGTCTGAAGTGGTTCAGTTTAGACATGGGTTAAAACTAATTTCAGTGGCTCTTTGGGAATGATTAACCTCAAAGTTCAGGCCTTGAAAGTTCATTTTTTTTTTATTAAAGCATTAGATAATGTGGTAGTGAGTCACCTACGTCTGAGGTGAAAAGATAATCTAAACATGTCAATATTCAAAACTCTTTTTATGAAATGGGAAGTCTCTTAATCAATGTTAGCTATCAAGGCTTTTTTTTCGTTCTGGCATCTCTCAGGTGGGTGTCATTGCTATTCTAAGAGAACAAGAGAGGTGTTCATGGTGAAATCAGGCACCTCTTTTTCTAGAAAAATAGCACTGGTTATTCCAGTATTCACCAAAATGTACATAGATCATTGTTGTTAAACGAGGCTGCCTAGATCTTTCACGGTTAATAAAATCATTTATTTTGATAGTTGTCAAGAAGCAGGCATATCCAACATATAGCTGTGAACTGCTCTGTGGTCTTCAGTTGAAGAAGAAGAAGAAGAGTTTGGATTTGATATCCCGCCTTTCACTCCCTTTAAGGAGTCTCAAAGCGGCTAACATTCTCCTTTCCCTTCCTCCCCCACAACAAACACTCTGTGAGGTGAGTGGGGCTGAGAGACTTCAAAGAAGTGTGACTGGCCCAAGGTCACCCAGCAGCTGCATGTGGAGGAGCGGAGACGTGAACGCGGTTCCCCAGATTACGAGACTACCGCTCTTAACCACTACACCACACTGGCGGTATACACATTTAAAATAATAATAACATATTGAGATACCATTTTTATTTGGGGAAAGACCACTAGAGATACCTTTAGTACCTAGTTGCTGTTTATGATCTGTGCTATATAGTATATCTGATGATCAAAGCCTGTTAGCTAGAATAATGGTGGAATTTAAATTCTATTGGGGGGGGGTAGTTTTATTCCACATTTCCTTTAAGCAAGGAAGGAAACTAATAGCCTATAGCTGGAGTGCTCCCCCTCCCCCAATTATTAGGCAGCCTTACTAAATTCTAATCAGATCTGGTGAAACATTTAACTAAAGTTTCATTCATAACAGCCCCATTCACACTATACATTCCAGACCCTCCAAGTATCCCTATTTTCCAGGGATGTCCCTGATTTAGAGAAGCCGTACCAGTTTCTGATTTGATCCCAGAATGTCCCACTTTAAATTTATAGTTTGGATAGGGCCCCCAAAATAAAAATATAATGGTATTTCCTGCTTTAATTAAGATGATTGGTTGATTGATATACCATCCTTCATCTGAAGATCATAGGGTGGTTTACAGTATAAGTAATTTAATGACACACATCTCTCTCTTGGATTTTATATATAATGCTCCAGTTATGCTTGACTGCAAGTCTTTCATAATCATTATTCCAAACCATTATTCTGAACCACTGCCTGCCTGGAGACTAGAGTAGCTCCCAAGAATACATGTTGGTCAGCCATCCCTGGTATAAGAAAACAAAAATGTCTGGCTCCTCTATGGACATGTGAATTTAAAGAAAGCATTTCTAAACATTTGAACTCACATGGGTCCAGAGAAGCCAGCTTGCATGATACACTTAACTGCAATCTTGTATCATCATCATCATCATCATTATTAACTTTTGATAAAGTTTCTCAGCAGAGACTGAGTAAACTTATTATGCATGGGATAAGAGTACAGGTTCTCTTACAGATCAATAAATGCTTGAAGAACAAGAAGCAGAGAAGAAGAATTAGTGGAGAGAGGTAAGATGTTCAGCCAAAGACCAGTGCTGTTGGACTGGTGAATAGGTGACATAGAGGTGAGAAATGATTTGACCAAGTTTACTGGTAACATTCATTCAGGATGGTAAAGCAAAACAAACAAGGTTGTGTGGGCAGTTCTCAGAACTGTGTGATTGGGTATTAAAATGGCAAATGTGGTTCAATATACATATATGTGAAGTTTTAACTTCACATATATACTGATGGAATCTGAACTGACAGCAGCTTACTAGGAAAGTGATTTTGAAGACATGGTGCATAGTTCAATGAGAAAATTCACCCAGTGTGCAGAAGCAGTAAAAAGAGAGGACTCCATGTTAGTGATCATTAGGGAAGGGAACTGAAACAACATTGCCAATATCATAACGCTTTTGTACAAATCTATGGTGCCACCACAGTTAGAATACCTGTATATAGTTAATCACAGCTCAAAGGGGATATTTTAGTGCTAGGGAAGATGCAGAAAGGGATAACTAGGGAGGTATAGAAA